TCTCACTGTGTAGTTCATGCTGCTTTGGACTCACTATGTACCCCAGACTGGCCATGAACTCACGGTGATCCTGTTGCCTCAGCCTCCCAAGTGCTGGGAATATAGATATGCACCACCACAACCAGCTCCAGACACTTTTCTTAAGGGATTGGAATAGCAATTGTAAACAGTTAACTCCTAGACTTGTCTACAGGTACACCTGGAAACTGTCAGCAGGGGTCAGTGATTAGAACCCCCTTTTCATGTCTAGCTTATATTACTATTTTATATCTCTTTGGTTTTGGGGGGATGGTTTTTGGTTTTTTGAGGCAGCATCTCCCTTTGTAGTTCAGGCTGGCCCTGAACTCACTGTGTAAACCAGGGTGGCCTTGAACTCATGGCGATCATCCTGCCTCAGCCTCCCAAGTGCTGGGATTACAGGCATGCAACACCAGGCCTGGCTTGGTTATACTTTTTAAAAATACTTTTCTTTTGGGTGTTCAAGACCAAGTTAGAATGAGACCTGCGTTAATCAAAATTAATCTCTTACTGTCTATCAGGGTCAGTTAAGCTCCTCAGGGCTTACTTTTGGAACCATGTGCAGAGCCTCTCAGCTCCTCTGTCAGTGTGAGCCACCAGGATGGGTCACAACTTTGCTTGACTGTGTGGCCTCCTGTGGAAGCATGGGAAATATTTTTCTCTCTCTGGTGACCCTCCTTTTTAGCACAGTGTACATTTGTTGACTCTTGTCTTCTGGGGTGCGACAGTCTCCCTCTTCAGGAGCTTGGGGTACTCACCAAAGTTGTAGAATTGTGTAGAATGGGTCCTCTCATGTCCTGGGTCCTTGTTAACCTTGGAGAGCCAGGACCAAAATATTGGCTGGCCTCTTTGCCCAGTTACCTTTTTAAATCTGGTCTCCAAACCTCAGTTTTTAAACATCCAGATCAATTACACCCTAATTTAATGATCTTATCTAGATATCGAGCCCCTTGAAATACATATGACCAGAAAACTGTTATTTTCTTACCAATCATGGTACTTAGAAGTTGAATCCCTGTAGAATGTTAACAGATGACAATTATAGTTTCACTGAGAAAACTTGAGATCTAGGGCAACATAACACTTTAGTATAACAATCATGATGACATTATATTAAATGCTTGAGCCTAACAAGTTCATCACCATAAACGACTATAGCCTAGAAGTTATAATATTTTCAGTTTTGCATCCTTGAAAACTTGTACACTTGGGAAACATAAACCATGAAGTCAGCAATAGTGAGTGTCACAAACCAGGTCAGAACTGCCCAAGGAGGCAGCTCTGCCCTGCCTTTTGTCATTGACCAGTTTGGGTGTCCCTGCTAGTCATTGACGGGAATGATTGACAGGTTGCTGTGAGTCATCTCAGGAGCTTTCAGTGAGCATTCGGGTCCCAGAATCCACTCTGATTAAATTACATGTATGAGATGCAGTCCATATTTATGAATCTTTAATAAGATTCCAGAGGGAAAGAGGTTATTGAAGGTCAAGCCAGGAGATCTAACACCATGTGTTCTGGCCTGGAGCTTCAGAGATTTTCTGGGTCTTTGTCATTTTATTTTCTACCTCAGAACAATGGAGGGGAGGATTGGCCGTGGGTTGTTGCTGAACCTCAAGTGGGGGAGTGTTTTCCCAGCCCCCATTGTGCTACCTGTATTAATTGTAAGATATTCTGCATCCAGGAATATTTTTGTGGCTTTAAGTGGGTAGTTTTGAGAGCCCACAAAGAGCATTTAGTATTAAATATCAAAGATCAGACTCTTAAGTATAGATGAGACATTCCTAATTAGAAAATCCAAAATGCTCCCAAATTAGAAACTTTCTGGGCACCAACATTGATATTCCCAAGCATTTCACATAAAGAATGTTCAACCTGTACTTGGTAATCTATGAGATGACATTAACAACCCCTCCCCAAATATAGTTTGGGTTTGTTTTTGTTTTGTTTTGTGGTACCGAGGATTGAACCCAGAGCCTCATGCATGCTAAGTCAGTGCTTAATCTCTGAGCTACACCCCCAGCCCTTTTTATTTTTTTATTTTGAGACAAGATCTCACTAAGTTACCAAGGCTGGCTTCAAACTTCAGATCTTCCTACCTCAGCCTCCCAAGAAGCTAGGATTATAGGCATGTGCTACCATGTCTGAAGTAGGATAGAAGAAATACAAGTAGAAAGGAGGGCCAGGAATTTAGGTCAGTGGTGCCGCTGCCTGCCTCAAAAGTGCAAGGTCCTGAGTCCGATCCCGGGTACCAAAAAAGAAAAGAGACAAGGAGGCTGGGGATGGTAGTACATGCTTGTAATCCCAGCACTGGGGAGGCTGAGGCAGGAGGATCACTGTGAGTTTGAGGTCAGACTGACTACACAGTTTAAGGCTGGCTGTACTACAAAGCAAGACCTTGTCTCAAAAAGAAAATTTTAAAAAGGGGACAAGGAAAATCATAATTTTTAAATTATAATTTTAGAAAAACTATACCTTAAGGACACAAAATTTATTCAAACCTTTTTCCCTTCCACGGAACTGATAAAAAAAAAACAATAATAATAATTCCTAAGGATCTTAAATACACAAAAGGGCCCATTCGTTTCACCTGTAAATCATTCTTCTTCCCACAAACTTCCATCCTCAAAGAAGCAGCACTATTAGTGGGTAACATATCTTAACTTTGAACACATATAAATGGTTTGTATTATAACACAGAGGTGCCCAACCCCTGGGCTAGGGTTTGGTACCAGTCTGGGGCGTGTTAGAATCAGGCTTCACAACAGGAGGTAAGTGAGCAAAGCTCCATCTGTGTTTACAGCTGATTTCTATCACCAGCATTACCACTTGAGCTCCACCTCCTGTCAGATGAGCAGTGACATTAGATTCTCATAGGAGTTCAAACCCTGCTGTAAACTGCACAAGTGAGGGATCTAGGTAATGCTCTCCTTATGAGAATCTAATCCCAAAACCATCCCCCTTACCCCAATGGAAAAATTGTCTTCCATGAAATTGGTCCCTGATGCCAGAAAGGTTGGGAACTGCTATTCTAATGTATCCTTCCAAGTGGATAACCAGATAATAGGAATACACATCCTGGATCACTTATCTTAAAAACACCCATTACTGGCTTTTGGGTCCCAAAGAAATTCCAGGTTCTTGGTGTCCTGAACAAAGAATTGGACAAGACCCATGAAAAAGGTATCAAGGATTTACATATATTAAAGGTGGAAAAGAAGTATGCACTGCAGAGTGATAGTTGGCCTATGAAAAGGCTCACAGCAACCACCAGGATAATGGCCAGGCTCTTTTGTATTTGGAATTCCTAGATTGCTTCTCTCTAATCCAAATAAGGCATTTGACCTGGCCTGGGGATATAGCTTGGTGGCACTGCACCTGATTGGCAAGTGCAAGGTTCTGAGTTTGATCCCTGGTACCCGAAAAACAAAACAAAACCAAGAGCAAATAATAAACCATTTGGAATGGTTGTGTATCAGAAACTCACTTGGCTTATTGTCAGATTTAAGCTGTCCTATCAAAGGCTTGCTTGGTTTTGTGTCAGACGTAAATAAAGACTTGAAGGTAGCACTTTATAATTGGTTCCATGTACAGTGCTCAGGAACTGTAGTCATCTTGGGTCCTGTGTTCTGGGTCTCCAAGACTGACTAACTTTTTACAGTTACTTAATCCATTCGCCCCAGTCCTAATCTTCTACATACATTAAAAGATACACTTGGGGCCAGGGATTTAGCTCAGTGGTTTTGCTGCCTGCTGCGCAAGTGCAAGGACCCGAGTTCGATCTCTGGTACCAAAAAAAAAAAAAAGATACACCAAAGTTGTGGGTTTTGTGCACCTGGAGGTGAAAGGAAGCTGAGAATGCCTCTTCCTAATTAGTTTAATCAAAGATAATGCCTTTATATTATTGACACGGGGGTCCTGCATAGGGTAGTGCGGCACTAATGAGATGCTAATATTTAGTAGATCAGCACAGAAAGACCAGGCCTTGTTATATAGAGATAAGGTGGTTTCATGGCATTTTGGAACATCCGTATCCTGTGAGGAAGCCATCCAAGAGAAAGCCAGGACACACTGAACTATCAGGTCCCTGGGTAGTTTTGGTTTCTCATAGCTGATGTTGGTTCAGAAGGGAGCACTAGAAGTGGGGAGGTGGTAGGCTTTGAAGAGTGTCAGCACATCATGGAGTATGGTGCTTACTTCAGCATGGTCTTTCAAGTGGAGACACATGGTCAATTTCTACCAAATGGGGCCTACTAACTATCAGCTCCAGCCAGAAGACAAAACAGAGAAGTATGACAGGCTTAGGTTCAAGAATTGTTGTGACTAGTACAAAAGTAACCACAAAATTTTGTTCAGAGGTTGAGTTTTAACTTAGCAACTTGCAGAGGACACATAAAAACTAATTGAGAGATGGTAGTAATTCCTATACTATGAGATTGGGCATGCTTTGCAGACTTGGGGTCTTGAGTGTGGATACTGTTTTAAGGTATACTGCTATCGTGACACTCAACCTGAGAACTTCTGTTTTTCCTTAAAGCATATATGCTTCTGACTTAGGCCCTTGGAGACAGCATTCAGAGGTAGAGACCTTTGGACTAGAAGTCCTATTTCCCTAGGGGAAATGTTTGAGCATTTCACTCTACCAGTTCCACTGAATGAACTCTTTAAGTCTTTGGAAAATTGGGTTAACTTGATAACACACACTGGAGCCTAAGGTGTTCCTAAGAGGTCAGGAAACAGGTAAGTTGCTACCAGACCTAGAATGGATATCGGAGAGACATGAGTTGTTACAAGCAACCTGGGAACAAAGGAGAAAGCCTCTGGGCTGCCATACTTTTACAGAGAGAGAATTATAACATATTGGTGGCCTGAGAAAATAACCAAATATGCTAATTGCCATTTCTGGGAGATTTCTTGCCTGAATGTCACATTAGCCCTCTTTAGAAACAACTTCTGTGAGTTTCTTTTCCTTGCCCTAACCACAGGTAACAGTCCTCTGGACAGCCCCCGGAATTTCTCTCCAAATGCACCTGCTCACTTTTCCTTTGTTCCTGCCCGCAGGTAAGTAGCTAGAAAACCTCCTCTTCTGTGTCTAACACACGTGGCACTTGCATGAATGTTAGTTAAATGTCACATTCCTCCTTTAAATCTATATTCTTTCAAGTGGGTTACCTTGGGTTACCAGGCATTAAAATTCCTTCCCTGCTTTTTTCTCTCCCAGATTATGATCATCTTCTTTTAGCTTTCTGGATGGCTTAAATATTTGCCTTTGAATGTTAGACAAGGGGGAAAGTAGATTCAAGAAGCTGATTTTTACAATCTTAAGCACAAGACCTTGGTGTACTAAGACTATGTTCCAAGCCACTATACTTCCTTTGAAAGCTATCCTAGAATGATCAATGACAAAATAAGATCTCCTCTCAGGAGGATCCAAAATTATACTTTTTGTTCCCTTAATCCAGCTAGTTCCAAGGAGCTGGAAGGACCTTGCATACCTCTCTCCTCTGCTTTCAGCTAGAGGCCTGTGTGTGGACATAGAAAGATCTACAGGGCCATAGTTATGTTCCTCTTCCTATTACTGTTCTCTCTGAAAGTGATATAAGCCTGTCTCTGGCCCAGGGTAGTAACCCTGACTGCTCTACTTAGGGCTGGGGCCTTACCTGGTCTCTGGAGAAGTCCAGGCTGATGGAGTCCAAATCATTTGCAAAGGCTCCACAGAGGTTTCAGAACCTTTTCAAAGATTATTTGTTGGCAGAGTTCAAGTTTAAAAAATTTGTTTAGAAGTATCTTTTTGGTTTTTGGGTTTTGGAGGGGGCAGGGGGTTGTTTTTGTTTGTTTGTTTGTTTGTTTGTTTTTTGAGACAGGGTCTCCCATTGTAGTTCAGGCTGGCCTTGAACTCACAGCAATCCTCCTCCTGCTTCAGACTCCCAGGTGCTGGGATTATAGCCATATGCTACCACACCTGGCTGAGAGAGGTTTTTTTTTTTTTGGTGGGGAGAGTGTGTTTGTTTTGTTTTAATTTTTTTCTTGGTTAGAGTTAGTCTTTAGTACTAAGACTTCCAGAAAAATTATGACTCCAGATCTAGAACCATTAGTGGATGGAGAACATAATACACCTTGAGGTAAGAGCAATTTTAATACTTAGGCTACTTTTTGAAAAAGTCATAAGAAAAAAACAAGAAACACCTAGAAAAAGTATTTGCTCACTATTCAAATGACAATGTAGAAAAAAATCAATATATCCCCTTCCTCTCTAGGATTCTGTGTAGTTGAAAGGGACTTGAGCAGGTGGGAGGAAGTTTGACAGCTGATATGGGTACCCCTTCTGACTTAGTTGCCTTATTCAAAAGAAATCTCATTCCTGTTTGTCCATGAACTCATCCTTCCTACCCTATATAACTTCCAGTTAGTTAACCAAGCTTTCAGGTAGGGTCATTTATAATAGAAGAATGTTGCATTGATACATTTGTTTGGAAGAATTTATCCAAGACTTTCTGCCTAGACTATGTATGAACTGTAGCCTCGGATTAAATATGAACTGGAACAGCATGACCTGTGACAATCCCCACAGGTGGCATTCAGTCATTTCACATTCATTCAGTAAATATTTGCTGAGCACTAATTTTGAGCCAGGCTCTGTGCTAGGTGTTTTGTTATAAAGTGGTAATAAAATAGATACAGTTCTTAACTTTCTTGAGCGTTATAGCCTAAGATCTTGCTGTTCCCTCGTGCTCGCTTCAGCAGCACATATACTAAAGATCTTGCTGTTCCCTAAGATGTTCGCTTATTCTGCTCATTCATCTCATCTCAAATGTTATCTTCTTAGACTTTCCCTAACCACACAATCTAAAGGGGACCCATTTGTCATTCTCTATCAAATCATTGTTTTGTTTTTTTGATTTTTTTGGTACCAGGGATCAAACTCGGGACCTTGCACCTGCAAGGCACGCGGTGGAACCACTGAGCTAAATCCCCAGCCCTCAAGTCATTGTTTTTTTTCCAATCTAGTATTTTCCTATGCCTGGTTTTTTTTTAGTTGCATATTTTCTGTCTCACCTTAACTAGAACCAGATTTAATAGAGATACCTTAATTTGTTGAAAAACTATGTTTGCTGGTACATAATAGTGCTCGGTGATCAAATGAATGGTGAGGGAGGCATACAATAAATGAAAAAGCAAACAAATATAGGATTATAAACTGAGAGGCATAATGAAGGGAAAGAACATGATGCTGCATGAATGAATAAGAAAGGAGTGGGGCTAGACCATCCCACTGGATGGTCACGTAAGGCCAGCCAGTCTGAGTGATGAGAAGCAGCTGCTGCATTGGGTGTGAGGACACAGGCGTGGAGACTATTCTAGGCAAAGGAAATAGCAGGTGCTGTTGATGCCCTTATATTTGCTTCATTTAGGCTTCACGAGTTAAGTACTGAGGAGGAGGCCTGGGGGCCTGTTATTACCACCGAGACTCAAACAAATCTGCACTAGGAAACAAGATGTTTGACTCATGTACATGGAACCTGAAACCCTGGGCTGTCCTCTTGAAGAATGGAGTAGGAAAAACTGATCATTCTTGGTGGAATGGGGAGGAGTGTCTCAACCCTGCCAAAGAGGGTAACAGGAATTGTTGGTTCCTAGTTACTGAGTCAGGGTGGAACCCTACAGGATCACATTGGTTTAGAATATCACACAAAAATCAGATTTGATAAAATACTAAAAATAGACCCATCAGTCCTACAATTTCAATTCAAACTGTCACACATTTCTAAACAAAAGGTTTGCCTCTGCCAAGCTAGACCAAATGTTGGGGGTCTATGATTCTCTTTGGTTCTCACTATAATTTACATCTTTTCACTACAGCCATGGCCACAGAGCAGACAGGTAATTGTGTGTGTGGTGTGTGGAAAGGGTTGGGCCACTACTATGCATGGTCATACAGTGTAGCTTGTGATTTTGTGCTTGTTGAGAGAACTAGTTGTGATGATTCTCCTCTGATTGTGGATTTGAACATGGACCTTTTATATCTAGCAAAAAGGCCTTATAGGATCCCCTGCTACCTGCTGGAACCAAGGCTCAGAGCTAATATGCTCGGAGGCAGGAGTTACTCAATAGTTCACCCTTCTGATCCTAGGGACAAGTCATCCTCCTTCTCACAACTTTCCTCAGTCTCCCAGTGTGGAGGCCAGATAAAGGAAATGGACATCCTGTGGTGGCATTTTATTCTGAATCTGGTGGCTCATGCTCTTCAGTATACAATATAGAGAAGTGGCTGCCATGCAATTGATTTCCATTTTTAGCTAAAGGATTTAAAATCATGTGAAAAGGTGCAACAAGGTCCTACGAAACTCATCTCTAAGTTACATTTGTCTCATCTTTGCTGGAATTCAGTGGCTTTCTTATGTAAAGTGTTCAGGACCCAGCAAAGAGGTCAGAGAGAACATAATGTTTTAGCATTCTCTTGGACATTTCTTTGCCTCAGAGACGAGGTTCCAGCAGACTTCAATTGACATGTGCTGGCTGCCTGAGTAGCATGAAGTTTGAGTCATGTGCATGTGGCATGGAACCCTGGGCTCTTCCCTTGCAAAACATAATAGAAAAGCTGCTCAGTATGGGTGAGAGTAAGGAAGAGTGCTGCAGAGAAAGCAGCCCTACCAAGATATATTACTATTTTCTTCCTCCTATCACCAAGCCCACATCTCAGCTGACACCTTGAGCAAATCATCCAAATCTCTGGGTCTTAGAGTTTTCTCTGAAATTATAAGTGAACTTAACTTTTAAACTTTCTCCATTGCTGGGGCCAGGGATTTAGCTAAGTGGTTCTGCCACCTGCCTTGCAAGTGAAAGGTCTCAAGTTTGATCCTCGGTACCAAAGAAAAAAAATAATCCGACTTCAGTGTAAGCAGGTTATACTCCAAGATCCATGAGAAAAAACACCTTATACCACATCCACAGTCCAGGCAAAGAATCACAAGTGCATGTTGTAAAAGCTTCAAATCAGATACCTACTTAATCTTCCTTCTCTACGATAAAGCATATTAATTATGATTCTTTGTGATGAGAGCTTTGGGTGGCATCCTTTTGAGGGCAGCAGGAAGCCTCCCCCTATAGTCTCATCTATAGCCAGAGGTATGTCATTTCCCTCCTTTTTTTGTAAGGTTACTGTCACTCTTTGGCAGGCATTTTCAAAGATTGGTTTTATGGGTTATAGGCACCCTATAACTCTTTGCCATCAGTTAATGTTCAGTTCATACCCAGATGGTTGTCCATTTCTTCCTGATTGCCAATGCAGTGGCCTGGAAAAAACCAAAGAGCCTTTTTTTTTGGTACCAGGGATCGAACTCGGGTCCTTGTGCTTGTGCAGCAGCCAAAGAGCCTTTTACATGGAGACTTCAAAAAAGGAAGTAAAGCCGGGCACAGTGGCCCGTGCATGTAATATCAGCTACTTGGGAGGCTGAGGTAGGAAGATCACTAGTTCAAATCTGCAACTTAGCAAGACCCTGCTTCAGAATCAAAAAATGGAAAGGTCTGGGGGTATAACCCAGTGAACCCCTGGGTTCAATCCCCAGTATTATAGGGGTGGGAGAGGAAATAAAATAGGCATGGTAGCACACATTTGTAATCCCAGCTACTCTAGTTGCTGAGGCAGGAAGGTTACCTAAAATTTGAGACCAGCCTAGGCAACACAGTGAAATCTTATCTTAAAAAAAAAAAAGGCCAGGTGTGGTGGCGCACCCTGTAATCCCAGAACTCGGGAGGCTGAGGTAGGAGGATCACTGTGAGTTTGAGGACAGCCTGGGCCTACATAGTGAGTTCAAAGCCAGCCTAAAGTACATAGCAAGACCCTGTCCTTAAAACAAACATACATATATACTCATAGACTCCTTTATAGTCAGAAGTGTCTGCCTCTGCAGTGGAAAACAGACATGTAGGCTACTTATAAGAGCACATGCTCCAGCAAGCAGTACTCTTTTGAGACAAAGGGAGACCACCAGTGAATCAAGTGTCCAAAAATGGTTATGGACACAGCCAGGCAGATCCTGGGCTCCAGATGGGGACCTGTAGGAGCTTCCTAATAATTCTTTTTCTTGCATAGGACTGATGGACGGCGCTGGTCTTTGGCCTCTTTGCCTTCTTCAGGCTATGGAACCAACACTCCTAGCTCTACTGTCTCAGTAAGTAGCCAAATCTGTGGGCGTACTTCTTTCACTCTGATCCCTTCAGGTTAGTGCAGTGCTGAAAAATGATTCTCAATTTGTCTCCCAAGGGTGAACTCAAAGAAGTTGCTTGGGGATAGGGCTGAGTGGAGCAGAGAGTGATGACCTTCATGACGATAGCAAGATCCATAATCCTTTGGAAGGATTAACTAGCACCTTCCCTGGGAGTCATTTCTTCCTGGTGGAATGTTGAGAAGCGCTTGAGGATGAACTTTGGTTCTGCCAGTGAAATCAGGCATGGATGCTCCTAACGATGGTTCCATTACTCCCCCTAACCTTATTTTAAGAACTGCTACTAAGAACAGATTGCCCTTCCTATTTTTCAAAGATGTAGTATTTTTCACCTTTTTCTTTCAAAAAGAGAGGAAAGAGTGGTATTGTTTGATATCCAAGTGGGATGTATATCAGTGAAAGGCTGGACCTATCTCTAAAATTTTATTTGTATTTCTCTTAGAGGTTTTAACCTAAAAAACAACAGATGTGTTCATTGTAACCATGTATAATTGACCCTAAAAATGAATTCTCCTCATAACATAATTTTTTATTTTTAAAGCCAGGATGACAGGGTTGGCAAAATTTCTGTAAAAAGCCAAATAGTGTTTTAGACTTTGCAGGCAGTAGACTTGGTGACTCTAGCTCCCATTTCTTCCACTGTTCTTCAGGTCTTCTCTGTTTGATTTGTTTATAGTCATGAATCCCAAGCAGGGAAAAAAAGAATATCATTTTCCTCCCTTGACCTAAATATTACTCTTAAATTGAACCAAAAGTCTCATTGGTGGTCTTTTTAAGCTAAGCTTAAAATTTTTCCCTAATAAACAGCAGGCGGCGAAACCACTGAGCTAAATCCCCGGCCCTCAAAGTGATTTTTTAAAACCTAAAGTAATTGACAGTACATGTGTATATGACTATGTATTTAAATATAATACGTATATATTCTATTTAGTAAATTTAACAGACTCAACTCATAAAATACCCATTTTGCCCACCATAATATATATGCAGGCATTAGCTCATGTTAGCTGTTGTTGGGTAAATAGTTGGTTTGCAGCCTTGATCCAAGTCATTTATAAAAATGTGGCCAAGACAGAGCCCTGTGGAAACCTCTCACTAGCTGTTTACAACTCCATGTACTATAATACTCTGTGAGAGAGGCATGCATTGTTAGCCCAAAGGTATTCATTTCTCACTTAATGTTGACCCTGTGACAACAGAGCTCTCTGTGTGATGTTGCAGCTTTGGGTCTGAATGGTTTCACATATTTAAAGCCCAGATCCTTGATCAGTTGGTAAGTAGAAATTGAGCCAGAGCTGTTAGACTTGCCTGCTGTCTTAGCCAGTCTTGTCAGGTAAACGAAGATCTCACTGATCAGGAGCTAAGCTATTGGGTCCTCATGGCAACAGCCTCATCTGCAAGATTCCTGCAGTAGCACTGGGTCATTCACATGTCTGTTAAAATTGGTGGTCTCTTGTCAGGAATGCTCAGTCATTGAGCTATGTTTAGAATTCATAATTATAGATTAAATCTAATCCTCAAGTTCAAATCTGAAAGTAATTTTTTTCCCTGGTGGATTTTCTTGCCACATAGTGCTCCTAAGGTCTCAGCACAGCCTTTCCAGCCTCAGCAAATCCAGTCTTCCTCTGGATAACATCCAAAAGGAAACATTGCCGAGCTGTCCCCCCAGGTGAAAGGAAAAACTTCAGGGAATGTCATTTGCAGATGGCATTCCTAAAACATTTCCCAAACTAGGAAAGATAATTTATTAATTACTTACCATTTCTTACCCAGAAGCTTCAATGGAGGCAAAAGTTCCACGCAGAAGAATCTGCTTTTTATTACCTCAAGTCTCCTAGGTGTTAGGAGTTCCCACACCTCAAAATCAGGCTCCCAGCCTGACTCCTGAAGAACTCCAGTGTCTCTGCTTCCTCAAGGGTGAAGGCTCTGAAAGGCTTGTGGTGAACAAGATCATGCCCAGTCAAGGGTAGAGGGAGCCAAGGAAGGAAGCTTTGGGTTTACATTGATCAGGATACCCCTGAGCAGTTTCAGTCTGTTTCCATTCATGAACTGCCCTTGCATGTGTATTTAATGCTATTTTTAATATTTTCTCCTCTAGTCATCCTGTTCCTCACAAGAAAAGCTGCATCAGTTGCCTTTCCAGCCTACAGCTGATGAGTTGCATTTTCTGACAAAGCATTTCAGCACTGAGAGTGTGCCAGATGAGGAGGGACGCCAGTCCCCAGCCATGCGACCTCGGTCCCGCAGCCTCAGGTGAGGGGTACTCTCACCCTCTGTCCACACCTGTGGCCCTCAGTTTGTTTGCATAACACTGGCATTGGTGAATGTGTTAGGCTTCACAAGCCATACCTCTTTGTTACAACTGCTTAACTCTGCTCTTATTGTAGTGTGGAGGCAGCTCTGCAGGAAACATACAAGCTTTGTTTACAAAAACAAGAAGCAGGCCAGGTTTCCTCTGGAGGCTGTAGTTTGCCAACCTTTGGCAGAGCACATTAGCCAATTTGAGTAAGTCAAGCCCAGTGATACTCAAGCCTGTTTTCGCTTTAGGTTCAACTCAGCCCATCATCCCTGGAGCTAACCAGTCAAATCAAGCATTCTTTCTTTTTTTCTCTTCAGACTCCATTTGTTTAAAATAGAGTAACAGTATCATCAGTTCTGACAGTTACCTGGCTGCAAACTGTGGGCCCAGGGCACATGAGCTAGGCCAACTGGAAAAGTTGCTTCTACAGACACAGGTGGTGACTTAGGGAAGAAACCGAATTCAAAAGCAGAATTAAATGCCCATCTGAATCTAACTCAGTTCCTTGAGTCACCTGGGCCCACCTTCATCAGACCAAACAAAGGTTAACAGCTTATCTGTGAATTCCTATGATTTTTTTTTAATGGTACTAGGGATTGAACCCAATGTCTCACACATACTAGGCAAGTGCTTTACCACTGAGCCACATCCAAGCCAAATTCCTCTGACTAATTGTCCATTCTCTTTGGCATTAGCTGGTAAATTTGTGCCAACATTGCAGGTTAAGGAAGAAGACAGAAATTAAAATGAACATGGCTTTAATGACCAAGCTTAGATTTACAGGGTCTCTGGGAGTAATGAAGTGACTAGCATGTACAGGGTAGGTCCCAGAAGAAGAGTCCCTCAGGTAATACTGTCACCATGACAGGGAGTAAGCTGGGCCACTGAATTCAGATTCAGAGATTGAAGGTGATAGGACTTAAGTGCAAAAAATCAAGACTACAAATGAGTGAATGTGGATTCCCAGTGCCTTCTGTTGTCTTACAGAAGAATACCTGAATCGTGGTAATCTCTGTGACTCACACAGAGTAAAAGGTACCTTTTAGGGTGGTTGAGATTAAGAGGACCACAGTGATACTCAGCAAAGTCCCTGCTGTATTGTTTTTAAACACTTGGTCATATGTATCAGTGCATTGGACAGAACAGGGCCCGCTCCAGGGAAAAAAGCAGAGAGGAATAGTTCAGAACCTACCCTAGATGAGATCTCCTTTTGACACACTAAACTAGGCAGAACCCAAATATCCATTCAATTGTGTGGCTCAAAATGCAAAATCCATTAGGGAGATGTAATCGTGCATAAGGAAGGTTTAGGTTACTAAGGTAAAATAATAAATTAAAGCTGAGAACATACTGGCTGTCTTCAATAGATGACCCATACTTATAACACATTACAGGCTGGATTGGCTTCATTCATACCCTAGATTAGAGCCCAGATTAACCTCATTGGCTGCAGCTTGTTTGAAAAAAGAAATAGGTGTATAAAGTCTGCCACTGGATGCTTTGGAGATTGTTTAGTTTCATTTAATTCTGAGGACATACTAGGATAAACCATATTTCACTAGCCAAAGTGGTGAGGGTACAAAGTACTTGTCTGGCAAGGTCATCCTAGCAAAGTCATCAACGGGCTCATGAGTAGGCTTTTCCTTTCTCGGCCTCACACCCTAGCAGAGGTCTTTGTGAAAGTCCAACTTCTTGTAGGAGGATAGTCTCACTCCAGATGCAATCATTTTGATTTGAATAAAGTATGCTAAGAGCTCTAAGAATAAGGAAGGCTCTGCAACTCAGCTCTCATTAAAGGGGATTATGTGGGGTACTAAAGACAGCGGGAGGGCCAGGCCCCTGGGAATGGCCATCTTTCTCCTTGATAGTTTCATAGCACTAAAGTTACACAATTATTTCTCTCTTGTTCAGTCCTGGACGGTCTCCAGTTTCCTTTGACAGTGAAATAATAATGATGAATCATGTGTACAAAGAAAGATTCCCCAAGGTAAGGATCCATTTAAAAGGAGATGGGAAGGGCAACCCACTTTTGGGTCACCTCCTATTTCTCAGGAGCTGTCTCTCAATAAATCTTTCCTACTCTTATACAGACAGACAGACAGACAGACAGACAGACAGACAGACAGGAGATGGGGAAATGTCCCAAGGATGGCTGCCTATAGCCAGTCCAATGAGAAGACTCTGGGGTGAGGGGTGAAATGCTGCCTCCTAACATAACTAACAAAAAGAGCAGAAAGGCACCCAGAGGAGGAAGAAGGTCCCAGTATAAGGGCTTTGAGACCATGATTAGCAGGAGGCAGTGGGTACTATGACTATGTTGTACCTGCAGAGCCTGTGTTTCTCCACTCCCTGGAGGGATAGAAGGGAATGCCAGAAAGTTATCCTACCATGTGTTAAAGGGGAAGGAAAGAACTATAGGCCTGACTTCTCATTGTGTACATCAGGATCCATGAGTCAGTGTCCCCCACAACAGGATTTGCCCTCTGGTAGCAGCTTCATTTGGTACAGATTTTTTTTTTTTTTTTGAGACAGGGTCTTGCTATGTAGTTCAGGCTGTCCTTGAACTCACTGTGTAGCCCACGCTGGCCTCAAACTCAAGCCAATCAGTGCTGGGATTATAGGCATGTGCCACCATGCCTGGCTTCATACAGATTCTTATTCTGGACTGACAGGAAGAAGGTCAGAGGGAGCAATAGAGCAGGAGATAGAAGACTCAGGGTTGCTTACTAACATTTATATTCACATTTTCAAGGGCAGAAATGCTAAGAGAGGAAGGTAGTTTGCTATTGTGAGCTAGCTAAAAAATAGCATTCACCCTTCTCAGAAACCTTGTCTGCAGAACTAGAACCTTGCTCCCTATTTACATTTCTTTTTGAACGCTACCTCCTGTACACTCTGACCTCACCTTTGAAGATATGCCCTATTCCTGCAGGATGCAGCTAACTCTTGTCAGAGGGAGAACAGTGGACTGACATCTGTGATGACAGGATCCTAGAGTGGCCAAGACTCATTTTTCAACTTTGATCCAGATCTCTCTGCCTGTTCACCTCTATCTAGGGTATACAATGTGTGGTTCCTGCTCCTCTGAGAGGCCCTTCCTCTAGATTCAGGTTCAGTCTCCTGAATGGTTGAAGGAGATGGTATGAAGCCCTTGTACTTTTCCCCCTTGACATTCACATGGTAACCAGGAGCCAGAGTACCTGAGTTCATATCTGCTCCTGTTTTAAATAAACAGATTATTTAACTTCTCTGAGCTTCATTTGGTTCATCTATGATTCAGAATAAGAATATCTCATAAGGAGTTTGTGAGTATCCGCTCTTGTAACAGTGTCCAGGGACATAGTAAATGTCAACTTTTACTTCTCTGTTTTATTTGTGCCCCACAGTCTATGCTTTTTAGCATTGGAGTGGGCACTAGACAATAAGAGCAAAGGAGCAGAATAGCTAGAAAGTAATTTTGCTGTACTTTATAGTAAAGTCCCAGAGTGTGTGGTGTTGAGAAGTGTATATTACATGTTTGTTCCTCCTTGTATATTAGCTATTGTATTGTCATTCTCCTACTAAATGTTACTGTTTATAGGCACATCTCCAATCCTTCATGTAAGGACTAGACTGTTGCTGGAGAAAATATGCTAAAATCCCCCTTTCCCCCATGTATATACTGTATTTGCCTTAACATACAACGGATATCAGAAATCACCACCTAGTGGCAAAGGAAAGAAGTCAAAGTCTTGGACAGCTGTGAACTTGTTCTCTGGTGTGTATTTGTCATTTTGACACAGCTGTACAGTTAAGTCCCCAAGAAGTCTCTGAGCTAAGTCAAATCTCTGCTCTGCTTTGCCGGGATCCAGGCCAGGGTCATGTTCCCATCCACAGCCCCCATCCCAACTTGGTGTAAGACCAGGCAGGTTCATACAATAGAAACTCTCTGAACACTTAGGCAGGTTCTCAGGTCAAGTAAAAGGATCCTGAGATAAAAAAACTGATTTTCAGAAGTCCCCAGTCTAAAGAAAAGTACAGAAACCAACAATATCCATTCCCTAAGTGTATCCAGTTGGAAGGCCCAGTGGACAGAAGCACAAAGGAAAGGTCTGTCATTGCAAGAGAGAGTGAAAGACCTTGAGGACAGACAATACTTGAGTGAGATGAGGAATAGCAGGAGCTTGTAAGGCAGACCTGGCAGGGTAAGAAGGCAACCAGGGAACAGCATAAACAAAGACAGGCATAAAATATCAGGGTAAAGGAGAACAGCAAACCTTCCAAATCTGCAGACAAATGAACATGTGAGGAGTGGTGGGAGACAGAAAACCGAGGCAATAGAGGGTCTTCAGTATAATGATAGATCATTCTGACTTGATTTGAAGGTGGTCTTTTCATGTCTGCAGTCATCAGGTTTCCCAGATGCAACATCAGGAAACCAGGTTCACAGGAAGCCAATTCTTAGGCTATTACCAAGTCCTTCAGGCTTAGCTCCAGCTAAGCTGGGACTGGAAGGGAAGTGTCATTTTTCTTGCTTTCATTCCTAGGCCACTGCACAAATGGAAGAGCGACTGGCAGAGTTCATTTCCTCCAACACTCCAGACAGTGTATTGCCCTTAGCAGATGGAGCCCTGAGCTTTATTCATCATCAGGTGATTGAGCTGGCCCGAGACTGCCTGGATAAATCTCGGAGTGGCCTAATTACATCACACTACTTCTACGAACTTCAGGAGAATTTAGAGAAACTTCTGCAAGATGTGAGTGTCTTGGTGTGAGGGCTGTGATGAAACCTCCACTTGATAGTCGAAGGCTGAAATCAAGAACTAACAGTATTCTCAGCCTGCTGGCCTCCTTTCCAGTGTGCAGAAGCCTCCTCTAAGTGTGGCTCCAATGGACTCAGATCCCTCCCCAGCCCCTGCATTACTGAGAGAAGCTTTCTTGGTATCAGGGGAACTTGTTTCTATGATTCCTTTCCTTGCTTTTTCTTTCTTTCCTTCTTTTCTTTCTTCCTTCTTTCATTCTTTTTTCCTGAGGATTGAAGCCAGGGCTTCACAAATGGCAGGCAAATGCTCTACCACTTCCAAGCTACATTCCCAGCCCTTTCTTTTTTATTTATTTATTTATTTTCTTGGTACTAGGGATCGAACTCAGATCCTTATGCTTTTGAGACAGGCAGCGGAACCACTGACCTAAATCCCCGGCCCCCCAGCCCTTTCTAATGTTACTTTTGAGACCAACTCTCTTAAGTTGCCCAGGTCGACCTCAAACTTTCGATCCTCCTGCCTCCACATCCCAGACAGCTGAGATTACAGGCATGCATCACCAAATCTGGCTGAGACCTTTCTTTTCTAAATCCAAAACTGTATTACTCTACCTGAGGCTCCAACATTTGTAGCATTCATAAGTATTAGACTGAAAGATTTGTTATCCAAAGCTCAAAAATGACACCAGTGGATGTGGTGTGCACTCTTCTAGTAGAAATAGCTGATTTAAGGAGGGCCTTCTAACAGTTTCTCCTCAACCCAGGGAAAGCAGGGCCAAGGCTTACCCAGTGTGCGTTTATCCATTTGCTGATGTTTTATCAACGTGGTGAAAAGTTCTTTAATCAGGACTTCTATGTTTAGAGATTCTTTTTTTTTTTTTGGTACCGGGGATTGAACTCAGGACCTTGTGCTTGGGAGGCAGGCACCAGAACCACTGAGCTAAATCCCCGGCCCAGGGCTTGTATGTTTAGATACCTGATCCTGCCCAGAATGAAAAATCTCTGTGAGGCAAAAGGTAGAGAGATGAACAAGACCAAAGTATACATTGAGTTCTTAACCACTGCTTCATGCTCCAGTGCTTGCTTTGCCTTGGACCTCTCAAATAAGTTGATGGGATCCCTTCCCACTCAGATCACAGTTCCCACATGTTATACTGAGTACAGTTTTGAGGAACAGGGATGCACCTGTTTGTCTGGGGCTCTTCACATCATTAGAGTATATTTTAGTCAAGAACCTCCTATTGCCTCTAGGCTTGTGACCTCTGTCCTGAGTATTATCAACTGGTTTGAGAGCCCAGAGCTAATGATCAAACTGGACTTGAGTTTGTGACTCTAGAAATTAGAAGCAGGGAAATTTAAAAACAGAGGGGAACAGTTGAATCTAGAGAAGGATTACTAAAGATGATCACAGTTATTGCTATAAAATACAATGGTACCTTGGTTCACAAACTTAATTTGTTCTATGACTTTGGAAAAGATGGCCACAGTCATGTTTGTTACCCCATGCAGAGTTTGTCAACAAAAATAAAATTTTGCCAGACACTTCTGTTTGTGAACCAAATTGTTTGTAAACAAAAGCATTCATGAACCAAGGTTCCACTGTACTAGGTTTTTCCTGTGACAAAGATAACAGATTAGTCTCTATACCTATAAAGAAATAACTAGTCCAGTGGGCAAGAGTTACAATGAGAAAGATTTTGGCTACATGAAAAATATTCTACAAAAATTTCTATCTGTAATTTCAAAAGTAATACTTAAATTCAAATATCAAATACCTTTTTTTTTGGTACCGGGAATCAAACTCAGGACCTTGCTTTTGCCAGGCAGGCGCAGTGCTACTGAGCTACATCCCCTGCTCTGACATGATCATTTCTATGTGTAAAATTTTTAAAATCCCTAACATTTATGGAACACTTAACACATACTCATTTAATCCTCACAACAGCCCTGTAAGGCAGTGACTGTGATGCCCTAAATTTAGAAAAAGCTGCATCTTCAAAGAGCTAAGTTAGCCCAGGGTAATTAACTCATTTCCTAAGTAGCAGAGCTAGAACCCAAACTCAGATTTGTCTTATTCTGAAGCTTAACATCATCTAGTTCAAATGTGTAGTCTGCAAACACTGACTGACTTCTGACTTTTGCTTCTGTATAAAAGACACTGTACTAGGCTTAGTATGTGAGAGGAGAAAACAGAACAGACTCTACCCATAAGGCTCTCTGCCCTAGGATGTAGCTGTAGAGACAGACAAGTCATTATAAAACAACCTGATAATCTCTGTGCTGTAAGCAAACAAGGAAACACAAAAGGGCTTTACTTGTGTGTGTGTTAAAGGCATGGGGAATTCAACAAGATTTCACCACTGATATTTGGACTAAAAAGAACAAACAGGAATTCCACTCTTTGAATTTCATAACCAATTTTTTAAAGTCCTCTTTGCTATTTTTCTTTTCTTGTAATCTGTACACTAGTCTCCTGCCTTTTAGTTAGTTTCCCTTACATTCTACTAAAACCGTAAGGCAAAAATTACCAAGGAACTAATTGGCCAATTACCAAATCTTATGGCCTCTTTCAGTCCTTATCTTTCTTTGCCAGTCTGCAGAACACAGTTAAATACCTCTTCCTGACCCTTTATTTTCCCTGTTGTTGGTTTACTTTCTCTGCAGTCTTGATATCTCATCACAGGGTCCTTCTCTGCCCATCTCCTGGTTTCTGGTATTTCACAAGGTACCATCCAGAGTGTCTGTTATCCTCTGTTTTATTTCTTCACACTCGTGCTGATGAACTTCATCTGCTCCCAGGGCCTGAATTTTCATCCAACCACTGAGGACTCCCATGTGCACCCTTACTGCACTCCTCCACTTTGATTTCCCAATATTGGTTCATATTCTTTGGTTATAAATAACAGAAGACTGACTTAGTAATTTTAACAATAAAGAGACGCTAATGATAAGCAGAAGAACATGAGTCTTAGAAAAGTGAAGATAGGAATGGACCAGGCCTTCTGAAAGGACCAGAATTAGAAACCAGAAACTGACAGACTCATAGAGTGCTTGTTCTTCTTTTCTCTTCTCTATTTCTCTCTGCTGCTTTTCTATATCTGTAGAGAAGATATGGCCATCTCCTTTCACTCAAGTGAAAAATTATGCAGTTCTGTTACACTGATGTTAACTGTCTCTCTTGACAATTTTTAATTCCCAGAAAAGCAATCCACACTGATCAGCTCTTGGATATAGGAGGGAAGGTGCAGCCACACAGTATAGATGTGGCTCCTAACACCCTAAACAGCTCTCAGTAAAAAGAGAAAAGGGGCTGAGATTTAGCTCAGTGGTTCCAGTGCCTGCCTCACAAGCCCAAGGTCCTGAATTCGATCCCTGGTACAAAAAAAAAAGAGAGAGAGAGAAGGATTACTTGGGCCTTGGGTAAATACCCAAGAGGCTAGCTGTATAGGTATTGCAGACTCTATAAGTCCCAGACTAAATTTAGCTTTTCCACTTGGCTGCTCTTTTTCCCAAAACCAAATGTAATTTGTTCTTTACCTATTCTCACCTAAACTTTTTATTTCCTTATAGTTCCTATTCATTTATGGGTGTAATTAAATTTTCCTTGAAGTGAAGTTGTAGTTACATTTTCTTCCTGCTTCTGCCACCTTCCTCTAGTCTACCTCAGAAATGGCTCAAGGCTATGTATACACTTTTCTCCATCCTTACTGTCTTGACTTAGCATTTTTCATCGGAGTCACTGCATTTGCTTGTTAATGGGTTTTCCTGCTTTTAGACTTGCTCTCTTTAATGCACCCTCTACACAGCCATGGTGATCTTTCTCACGTACCTCTCTGGTCATATCACTCCGCAGCTGTTGAGGTCTTTCTGTTCCTTACAGTCTATCTGGGGTGCAAAGTGAACATCAGAGAAGGCTCCATTGAGAGTTGCTCTTTGAGCTGGAGGCTGGAGGATAAGTGAAGCTTGTTGGATGGAGGAGCAGGTAAAGCTGTGTGTCTGTGTGACACTCTTTGGTGTCATGTGGTATTCTAAAGTTCAGTGGTGCCAGATGAGCAACTTGTTCTTTATCAGAGCTGACTAGCTTTCTCTGAGTTCTTTGCTTTGCAGACCTCTCTCTACTATGAAGTATTTTTCCTTGTAGTCACCTCTCCCCAGGCAATTCCTGCTTAGCCTAGCCACATTGGGCCAGTAAGTTGCTTAAGCAGTCTTTGTGTCTCTTTAGGCTCATGAGCGCTCAGAGAGCTTGGAGGTGACTTTTGTAATGCAGCTGGTAAAAAAGCTGATGATTGTCGTTGCCCGCCCAGCTCGACTCCTGGAGTGCCTGGTAAGTAGACAGACTCTGGGAAGGTTAGGTGGGAAGATGGGAGAGAGAGCTGTAGAGGAAGTATTTTGTCCACAGCAAAACTGTGGCGATGTGGTACCACTACCATTTCTGTTACTGAGATCTTTATTTAAATATGATTTGCAAAATTAAAATAATAGTGAGATTCCACCTTACTGGCTGTCATAAAGAAATCAAATAATAACAAATATGGGCAAGGCTGCAGGGGAAAAAGAAACCCTCTGCATTGTTGGTGGGAATGTAAACTAGTACAGTACAACCATTTTAGAAATCAGTGTAGAGATTTCTAAAAAAACCTAAAAATAGAAATTCCATTTGAACTAGCTATTCCCCTTCTAGTATCTTCTCAAAAGAGTTAAAGACATCATATTATAGTGATACACATATACTCACATTTTTAGCTAAATCTTGGGAGTGGCCTGTATGTCCA